CGAAAGATCGAGCTAGAGAATTAGCTGATCTTGTGGGAGGGCAGGCTTTGTCTCTGGCTGATTTGAGTAACTTTCATCCCGAAAAAGGAATGATACTTGCAAATACGACTTCTATTGGGATGCACCCGAAGGTTGATGAAACGCCTATTTCTAAGGTCCGTTCACTTGTCTCCCTTCACGTCTATTTTCGGTAATGAACCTAAAAAATTCATCACATGTATATATAAATAGAAAAACTTTTATCTTGAGGTTCATCCTAATGAATACTGACAAGAACTGAACGAATGCTCAAATTTATCTTTCTAAACTATGCGTGCTATCTTCTTAATGTATTATTACTACAAACATCCCTTTCGATGTTCTTGGGGTGCGATGTTGCGAAACTGAAACTAATATAAAGGGGTTGTTTGTAATTATGAAGAAAAGCTGTGTGTTATTGGTCATATTAGACTAATATATCATTTTTGTTTTTTTCCTTTTTTTGCACATTTGGGCTAATGTTTGTTCATCAATTGGCTGAGAATGAGAATGACCTCTACAGCAAATGGAGCTGGAAGAGTCATTGTTGACAATTCTCCTGGCATAGTGCTAATAATGGACTAGATCAAAATGGCTCAATTAAATTCTAGTGCTTCTTCTATTAGTAAAGTTTCTAGAAAAAAAAAATATATCAAATGGCGCAATGCACCTTGGGTCGCTACAGAAACAACCTCCTTGTATAATTACAAGGGTTAAGGTCTGCGTACAACTGACCCCCCAGACCCCAACCTGTTGGGAATATACTGGGTATGTTGTTGTTGTTGTTGTCGTCTTCTCTAGTGTGTGTGTAGACAATTAAATTTTGAGCCAATAAAATGGCGACAAAGTGTCAAATTCCATGTTAAAATCAATTTAATAATTTTCTATTTCATTTGGGAAATTAATCAAATTTTAATTCCTAAATTAAATAGTTAATTAATTGATTATTTAATATATATTGTTGGCCAATTAAAGAATGCCACATGTATATTTTGAAGGCCAATTAAAGAATGCCAAATGTCATTTTCTTGGAGAGTAAAATAAATAATTATTTCTTTAAATAATTATTAAAGAGATAAATAAGTGGAAATTATGGACCAATCAAATTGAAGTCTTCTTTTCCAAGAGTCCATCTTCTAATTATCTCTTTAATAAATAAATATTGGAAATTATGGACCAATCAAAATGAAGTCTTCTTTTCCAAGACTCTCTCTCCTAACACCTATAAATAGGGACCCTCCCTAAGATAAAAGAGAACAATTCATATTCATATTCATATTTCAAGTTCCAAGTTCAAGAGCTCTAGAGAATTCTCTCCACGAGATTCAAGTGTTCTTGAAGATCCAAAGGCGTTCTTGAAGATTCGAAGGAAGATTCAAGCGCGTTCAAGCTCAAAACCGACGTTCAATCCGGAAATAAGCTGCCAAGCCTCCGAATTGCGTTATTAAAGTCAAGACCGGCGTAGAGAAGATCAAAATCAACTTTGCGGCGAAGACCAAGGACTCGTGTTATTCACGTTCTTGGGAAATCAAGACGTTCGATTCGAGATCAAGCTGTCAAGCCCTCGAAGAAACGTTATTTAAACTCATATTCAAGACCGGCGGAGATCAAACTGAAGATTCGTCTCCAAAAGTCTCAAATCCACTTGAAGATTGTTCTTGAAGAAATTAATCAGAGGAATAATAGAGATTTAGAATCCACTATATTTCATTTGATCCGTTGAAATCCATTTGTACGAAGTTCTCGTGTTTATTAATTCAATAATACGAATTTTGCGTTACAAATTTCTGGCACGCCCGGTGGGACTATCTCTACCTCTCATCTCTTTTCTTCAAGATATCTAAGTGCAACAATGGCTCCTCCCAAGTCAACTTCTTCAAGTTCTGCAAGCGGAAGTGTTGGTGTCACAACAAGAAGCATGGCAAAAAACAAGAGTGTATCTCTGGAAGAAAATTCTCGCCAAGTTGAGGAAATCATGTCACCTTTGAACCAAGAAGAAGATTTAAGAGACGATGTTTCATCAACACCTTTCTCAATGGAGGCACTTGTTATGATGACGAACGCATCAACCATTGAAGAGCAACTTGCAACCATGGCGAAAACAATGGAGGCACTGATGAAACATGTCCAAGATCAAGACTCCATGATCTCCAAGTTGGTAGAAAAGGTCGACAAAGCTGAGACTAGCCGTGCTGGGGGCAAGCAAGATGAAACACATGAAGATGAAGAAACTTCTAAAGAAGATGAGGTGAAGCAAACTGAAAAAGAGAAGACTACGTCAGAAATCCATGTTTCTGCAAGTGGAGTCATACCAACTGACCAACTCAAAGAGTTCATCATGGGAACCATCAAGGACAAATTCGATGTAGGCTCCAAGTCGTCTTTAACTTATTCGAAGCCATACACTCAAAGGATTGATAGCTTGAAGATGCCTACTGGATATCAACCGCCGAAATTCCAACAGTTCGATGGTAAAGGAAGCCCGAAGCAGCACATAGCTCACTTCATTGAGACTTGCAATGATGCTGGAACATATGGAGATCGTCTGGTGAAGCAGTTTGTGCGATCATTGAAGGGAAATGCATTCGAGTGGTACACCGACTTGGAGGCAAATTCTATTGATAGCTGGGAGCAACTAGAGCAAGAGTTTCTCAATCGCTTCTATAGCACACGAAGGACGGTCAGCATGATTGAGCTCACTTCTACAAAGCAGTGGGATGAAGAGCCTGTTATTGACTACATCAACCGTTGGAGAAATCTAAGCCTCAATTGCAAGGATCGATTGTCTGAAGCTTCTGCTATTGAAATGTGTACTCAAGGGATGCATTGGGGTCTCCGATACATTCTGCAAGGAATTCAACCAAAGTCTTTTGAAGAGTTGGCCACTCGCGCACATGATATGGAGTTAAGCATGTCTGCAAGCGGAGTCAAGAATCCACCTGTCCATGAGCCTCAAAGATTCAAGGACCGAAATGAAGCCAAGAAAGGGGGCAAGTTTTCCTCTAAAGCGCCTAACAAAGAGGTGAAGGAAGCAATGGCGGTCAATGCAAGACCCATCAAACTCAAGGGAAACACAAGTGAAAAAGTTGTGGAAAAGAAAGAAGTCCCTCAAGACAGGGGGCAAAGAAAGTTAACCTTGAAGGAGATGCAAGCCAAACAATATCCTTTCCTTGACTCTGATGTTTCTGGAATTTTTGACGACTTGATTCGGGAACAACTTATCGAACTGCCGGAGATGAAACGACCTGAAGAAGCGGGACAAGTTGACAACCCAAAATACTGCAAGTATCATCGTTTGGTGAGTCATCCCATCGAAGATTGTTTCGTCTTCAAAGATAGAGTTATGCAGTTGGCACGACAAGGCAAGATATCACTTGAAGAAGACAAAGGCACTGCGAACTTTGCTTCAATAGTGAACTGCGATGAAGGATATGAAAGTTTCTCATGTTATGTGACAAGTGAGCAAGATGATGTCCCAAGTGATGATGATTCAACTGATGACAAAGAACGATGTGATCATGAAGACAATGATGCGGCAGTAACCTTCACGGATGAAGACTTGATGTTGGGCTCAAAACCACATAATAGGCTTTTATTCGTAACTGGTTACACCCGTGAGAAAAAGGTGAATCGCATATTGATAGATGGAGGTTCTGCTGTGAACATTTTATCTCTGCGCACTCTAAAAGAGCTGGAGGTCCCGATAGATGAGCTCTCAAATAGCCGTTTGATGATTCAAGGCTTTAACCAAGGGGGGCAACGAGCTCTAGGTATAATTAGATTGAAGTTAGTGATCGGGGAGATGACTTCAAATGCTCTTTTCCATGTGATAGATGCCAAAACCTCTTATAATATGCTGTTGGGGCGTCCTTGGTTGCATGAGTATGGAGTGGTGCCTTCTACTTGGCATCAATGTTTCAAATACTGCCAGGATGGTGTAGTGAGAAAAGTGCTTGGAGACGATAAGCCTTTTTCTGAAACTGAGTCTTATTTCGCCGATGCTAAGTACTATTTTGAAGACGTTAAGACTGTTGGCAAAGAAGTTCTCATTACACAACAAAATGATGCCAAAGAGAAGAAAGCCAAGAATCTCGCTAGGAAGGACCCTTTGGATGGATTAGTGTTGCCGTTACCTAACCTCGACACCAAGAAACCAACCACGCAACCCCCGGGAAAGTTTGTTCGTCCGGTTGAAGGAGCTAAGACGGAACACGGAGAAGAGCTCCAAAATTCTAAGCATTATGACCCAAAAGCTTACAAACTTCTTGTCAAATCTGGATATGATCCAAAAGAAGTGAGTACTTTGGGAACACTTCTTCCCCAAGCAGCAAAAACTCAAAAGAAGGATGCTGGAGTTTCAAAAACTAGAGTTGGTCTCGGATTTGTAGCACCAAATCCAGTTCGGATAGCTATAAAACGAGTCAACTCTAATCATGTGTCTGAAGAAGGATTTTCATCCACTGATCATTTGAAGTATGGAGAAAGCGTCGCCTCATCTAATCAAGTGAGTAGTCTTGTCCCAAGAGAAAATCCTCGAAGTGCTGAAGGCATCTTGCATCGAAGAATCGCCGCATTGGTAAGAAAAGGGTGTATTAACGAAGACAATTTGCGTTTGGCTCGTGTCGTTAGAAGAGACGGACGAGTTAGAACATGTGTTGATTTCAAGAGTCTTGACGACCCTGCTGAAGATGTTGCATATGTAAACCATATCACCATATGTGAAGATGCTGAAGAAGACGCAGAGGATGCCCCTTCTGAGCTTGAAGAAGGAGTTAAGGCTACGGTTGATGAGTTGAAAGAGATCAACTTAGGAGACGTGGATGATTCTCGACCAACTTTTATCAGCGCACATTTGACTAGCGATGAGGAAGAGACTTATATTAAGCTGCTTCATGAATATAAAGATGTTTTTGCTTGGTCATACAAAGAAATGCCAGGGTTAGATCCAAAAGTGGCGGTGCACAATTTGTCCGTGAGAAAGGGGGCACGGCCTGTTAAGCAAGCTCAACGGCGTTTTCGGCCCGATTTGGTTCCATTGATTGAAGTTGAAGTGAACAAGCTCATCGAGGTCGGGTTCATTCGAGAAGTCAAGTATCCCACATGGATTTCAAGCATCGTTCCTGTGAGAAAGAAGAATGGCCAAGTTAGAGTTTGCGTTGACTTTCGAGATTTAAAT